CAAATAAGACAAAATGAATATGGGAATCACTGCACCATCTTGTAACATTTATCAGGAAGTAAGATTTGCGGTGGACAATCCATATTATTTTGCTAAAATTGTGATTTTATGAAGTGGTTTGGAAACAGTAAATGATTTTCCATGAAAATAAAGCGAACTTTGTGTTCAGATATCACTTTCAGCTGCTTTGTAGTGACGCTCTGGAAATGTGCTGTGCAAGCAATTCCTGGTCGAAGAAGGACACTTTCAGCCTTTGAAATAACTGATGACAGATTCTACATCTCTGATATTATACTTGAATCCAAAATCGACACAACTGAGATTAAATGTACTAGTGAAATGATTTGTTTCGCTAACAATTCGAAAGTAAGTGAATCGTATATTTGCGAAGCGCAGCGCTATCTTGTATCTAATGTTTGGGTGGCAAAACACTAGCAAAGAATGACTTTCGCTTTTGAAACAAGCTGAATGTAACAACACACCTTCTTAAAGTATTGTACAGGATGCGAACCATGCTGAAATAGGGAAGAAAAAGCATGTTAGATGTGGCAGAAAAGGGAAAACGAGTTAAAAACAACACGCATTATAGATACTTTACATCGAAGGTTTCTTGGCAGGAGTAGAACAACTCCTCGCGGATTTCTACGCCTGTGTCGATTTGCGCGAGTTGCAATTTGGCAAAGAGATCTCTGACATTCCTCCACAACTTGCTGAACACGTCTAACGCACTGAGAACCAGCATCAAGAGGTAAATTAGCTGTTGCTCTAGATTTTTCAGGCATTCTAGAAGGTTACCGATTCTAAGACGCTTGCTCGTTTACGCAGTCCTATTCGTGACCCAAGGGATTCGTATTTGTCACAGAAAGTTAAGGCAAGCACAAATTATTACAGAACCGCACTTTCAAAGCATACGCGGCGCGTTTTGGAAGTGGAATTTCTGTACTCAGCTTTTTGCTTGATTGGACACCGAGAAAAAGCTGATTTTTGCTGACCATTGAATCGACCTTGGAGTGTACTGAAGATATTCTTTCTAAATATAACCTTAAATTATATCACGCCGCGACGCGGTTTAGGCGGAATAAAAATACGAGTTTTCCGTTCTACACTATGCACGTTTTGCATCATCATTTTCAGTCTATGCCGCGTGAATCTTCAGTAAGAAAATTGGTTCCAAATCAAGTAACGACTGCTGGAAAGACAACGAGTGAATCCGCCGCCATGTTGCTCGAACAATTGTGCAAAGATATATACTCACACGTGAGCTTACATTTATACAAAACAGTTTTTCAAAACCAGATCTTAAATAGTTGTTGGAAAGCAGCAAATCTTCAATAGATACAGTACACGAATTTTGAACCAAGTTTTGTAATAACAAATAATCGTACTAACTCAGTTTGATGCATCTTGAAGGAAGAAGCACTTGGTCCGCCATTTTGAATATAGCGACCAGTTCAATTCTAAACCACACCGTTTAATAAGTAAAATGGATGCATCTTGCAATTGATTTTTCCGTTAAAATGATTTGTTTCGCAAGCAATTTCTAACTTTTACAAAAATGCATCATCGTATCACACTCAACACCGTCTTACAAGACGTGGGTGGTAACTTGATAACGGAAATCACTTTCACTCAAGAAAAAAGTAAAAAAAATACAACTCACCCTGTTAGGTCATGGTAATGGAATCGCTCCACGCTGAAATAGAGTTATAAAAATACACGTTAGGTCGCAGAATTGCAAAGAAAAACATTTAAATGACTAACAATATACGTTACTTAAAGCCCGTCGTCACGAAACACCCGTTTGCGTCGCCATTTTAGTTTTGCGTTGACTGTTGTAAGTTTTCTTCTGACTAGATTTCTTCTTGATTTGCTTTGCCTTCTTCTTTGGATAAGCAGCGTCGCGACTGCTGTTAGCGCTCGCTCTTGATTTCCCTTTGGGCATTATCGACGATTCACGAAGAAACGTTTGCGCTCTATGTTTGCGCCACGAGAAATTATCAACTGAAGTGCAACGTATTTCGCCTGATCCCGCGCTTTTCTTGTGTGCGCGGCGCACACGGTTTGTATTCAACAAACGTTTGGTCAACCCCTCAGAACTGATCTATCTAAAGACGCTCCGGCTAATTTCCGGTCTAGTTATCACCAAAATTTAGCATAATCGAGTACAGCCTAATCCAAAGGTGACGCTTGAGACTTTCAATATCATCAACGATTGCTCAGAAGCGAAACACAGCTACTTACCTTTTCTCGTCTTAATATTATGCACGATGCTGAAATAAAAGGGAAGAAAACCAGTCAGGTAGTTCACAAGTGAGAGAAGCACATGGAATTATGAAAGGAGCTCAGTCGCGGCATTTTGAGTTATTTTGGCCATGGACAAAAGTTACTTTTAAAATGAAGGAAACCTGAAAATAATAGTTTACTAAGACAGAAAAACAGCGAAGAAATTATAATAAACCATAAAGGAGCAAGGATAGTTAAGGACAGAGCTAGAAGATTGGCGCGGATTACAAGCGACGAACTTGAAAAATTTGATCAAGATGAGCAAACGGTGACGTAGCTCCTCACTCACAACACCAACTATTATCTTGACTGCTTGAACTGCTTCCACTACATCCACAATCATCTGTCGAATTCCCGGTACATCCTGATTTTCCAGGCATGGTAAATGCGTTTTATAACGTTGCGATACCGTTACCGTACTATTTTAGCTTTATCTTGTCGAAGCAGGCGTCAACGCTAAAATGGCGATGTACGCAAATGATTCCTTTTTTATGGGTATGTTGCATATATTCATGAGGGGCTCTATTCTCTGAATTCCGCAGTCGATTGATTGACAGCATGCTTAGGTTGAGCAGCATGTGTTTTGAACAACAGAATGTATTTTCGTC